AACATGCAAAAAAATAAGAAATCAGGAAGGGGGCCAACACTTTTTCACACCACTGTATACACTTTTTTTTTCCATGTAACCTCTCCACAAAACTTTTCACTTTTCATTCCTAGTTTTGAAAACATATATAATATAAAAATACGTGTGTGTGTGTGTGTGTGTATGTATGTATACAGTAGAAGTCAAAAGTTTACATACACCTTGCAAAATCTGCAAAATGTTAATTATTTTACCATAATAAGAGGGATCATACAAAATGCATGCTATTGTTTATTTGGTAATGACCTGAATAAGATATTTCACATAAAATATGTTTACATATCATCCACAAGAGAAAATAATAGTTGAATTTATAAACCCCGTTCAAAAGTTTATTTTCTTAATACTGTGTTGTTACATGAATGATCCACAGCTGTGTTGTTTTTGTTTAGTGATAGTTGTTCATGAGTCCCTTGTTTGTCCTGAACAGTTAAACTGCCTGCCGTTCTTCAGAAAAATCCTTCAGGTCCCACTAATTATTTTGGTTTTCAAGCATTTTTGTGTATTTGATCCCTTTCCAACAATGACTGTATGGTTTTGAGATCCATCTTTTCACACTGAGGACAACTGAGGGACTCGTATGCAACTATTACAGAAGGTTCAAACGCTCACTGATGCTCCAGAAGGAAAAACCATGCATTAAGAGCCAGGGGGTGAAAACTTTTTGAATTTGAAGATCAGGGTAAATTTAACTTATTTTGTCTTCTGGGAAACATGTAAATATCTTCTGTAGCTTCTGAAGGGCTGTACTAAATGAAAAAAATATATATGTATGATATTTAGGCAAAATATGAAAAATGTACACATCTTCATTCTGTTCAAAAGTTTTATGCATCTCTTAATGCATGGTTTTTCCTTCTGGAGCATCAGTGAGCGTTTGAACCTTCTGTAATAGCTGCATATGAGTCCCTCAGTTGTCCTCAGTGTGAAAAGATGGATCTCAAAATCATACAATCATTGTTGGAAAGGGTTCAAATATACAAATATGCTGCAAAACCAAAGAATTTGTGAGACCTGAAGGATTTTTCTGAAGAACAGCAGGCAGTTTAACTGTTCAGGACAAACAAGGGACTCATGAACAACTATCACTAAACAAAAAAACACAGCTGTGGATCATTCAGGTAACAATCAACACAGTATTAAGAAACTTTTGAACGGGGTCATTTTTATAAATTCAACTATTATTTTCTCTTGTGGACTATATGTAAACATCTTTTATGTGAAATATCTTATTTGGGTCAGCACTAAATAAACAATAACATGCCTTTTGTATGATCCCTCTTATTATGGTAAAATAATTAACATTTGGCAGATTCTGCAAGGTGTATGTAAACTTTTGACTTCAACTATATGTATATATGTATGTATAAATATATATGAAAACATATTTTAAATAAAAAAAGTAATTTCATTTAGTATCTTTATGCCATAATGAGCTGCCATTGATAGAACTGTCAAGTTATTAACATTCAAAATAATTTACACAATAAATAATTTTCATAATAGAAAAAATATTATATTTTTTATAATCCGTATATTTTATATACTTATTATATATTATATTATGTTGTTATAAAATTCAAGCATATGATATTTCTAAACAAAATAATTTCATTTCAGATAGGTGGGGAAAATAAAGCATATAAAACTTTGTGACAATATTATCCCACCCTCTGATCTCTGACATTAGCGGTAAGTAAGTTCCAGTCCAGAACAACTTTTCCATTGATGAATAAGGCTGAATTGGGCCCCGGATCCGTGACTGTGCTCATGAAAGTTTCACATCTGTGCTGTGGGGGGAAAGCAGAGGCTAAATCCAATTTGTGCACGGACTCAGTGTGTATTCTTTCACCCGTTGCGCCGGAGAACTCTCTCAGACCTCTGCGAGCACGAGGATTAGAGCCTGTGATCCCCAGCTCTTCAAAAGCTTCCAGCCTCCGTCCCGTCCCCTGCTCAAGGCCTCACCATCAATCTCCCGCTGTTCTTTTAAAAAAACACTCACTGAGCACTTATCCCTTTAAAGTCCAGCCAGGACAAACACTCCCCGGCCAGGACTGGAAGCGCACAGAGTTGGGCGGCAGGGAGCAAAGGGGGGTTTGGGTGGCCTGTTTTGGCTTAATTAGGGGATTAGGGAAGATTCCTGTGCTTTTTACCACTTCCTGTTGGGAGTGAGAGAGTAGGAGGGCTCTGATGTGTTAACCGGCCAGCCCCGACCCCGAAGGGGACTAATCCACATGAAGAATACACTACTTGCTAAACATTAGGTGCTGACCTGGGGTCAACTGGGTATCATGGTGTTTACCCGACAATCAAGTCCTAATTCTCTCCTCGCCTTGATCTGATCCCTCCATGGATATTCTCTCTCCTCAATACAACTCCATCTACTCAACCACCCTAGAAACACTACTGAAAACCTGTTGACACTTACAGTCTCTCAAAAGGACTTTAAACATTACTTTGTAACATATTTGATTTGGATAAATGCATCAATCAAATGCTAAAATAAAATACAAAAAAAATAAAAATAATAAAATATGCAAAGAACAGCTGACTTGTTACATATAGTTTTATATTACATTCATGTAAGCTCAAAGAGTAAATAAAATAAATTAAAATAAAATGGCAAAGAAAAAGTGGTTAAAACCAACTTGAACATTAGTCTGCCAAATGCATACAAATAAAATATATAAAATAGAGTGAAATAAAATATGTAAAAATTGACTTGTTATATATAATTTGATATTACATTCATGTAGCTCAAACAGTAAATAAAATAAAAAAACAATAAAAAAGCTGAAACAGTAATATGTCAAATGCTTACAAATAAAATTAATAAAAGGAGAAATAAAATATGTAAAATAATGACATATATATATATATATATATAATTTTATATTGCATTCATGTAGCTACTGTAGAACAGCAATCCGACAAAGGCATAAAATAAAAAAATAAAAATAAAAATGTGAAATTTTAATTAAATAGAAAAAAGCAAAGTCAAATAATAAAAAAGCAAAGAAAAACAGCTCAAACAGTACTCTGCCAAATGCACAGAAAATTAAATAAAAGTGAAATAAAATACATAAAAAATGGACCTGGAATATATTATTTTATAGGAATTTATTGCAGCTCAAACAGTTAATCTACAAAACAAAATAAAATAAGTGATACATAAAAAATAAAGTAAGCAAACACAGCCATCTTCCTATTTGCATATCAGTTTCTCCAGCTCTGACTGATTGAATAATCCTGTAAAAACACTGTAAAGAAAGATGTGGTTGAGTGCTTTGGTCAAACTCGTATTCTTGCCTGCATTTGATGTTCACAATATATCATGAACATTATACTAGAAGTGTCATTTGTGAAGCAGCAGCCATCTGTCAGCTGAACTAGCCTTTCATTATTTCTTCAATAATGCCTGTGTTCCTACAGAAGTGCTATTGGTTTGCCACTCAAATAAATGAAAAGGACAGCCGGGTGACCTCTTCTGGCAACGGCCTCTGTGTTTGTACATGAACGTCACAGAAGTCACGTCTGTTTCGAACAGTCATGGATGCATAAACATGATCGGTGAAATCACACCCCACAGTGCTGAAACAGATCAATGCTAAAGCAGAGAAATATGAACGTCTAGCAGCAATAAAAAGACTGTAAAGCAATTTGTACAGGGTGGATTTGTGGAACTTGACAAATTACCTCAATGTACTTTAATAATTCAGATATTATACATTACTTCTGAAATCATTAAAACACATTCAGCCTATTCCTTACAAAAAGTATCAGGTTAACATGAAATACCATGATTTATTTGACTTGTTAATGATTATTTGAATCTATTATTTGAAGTCTGCGTTATCATAAATCAAAATATCAAAAATCAAAATAAAGTGCCATATTACTGTCTAATATCTTCAGTGTACTGCAGCTTCATCGCAGTACTTTTTTTGAAAGAGATTATTACTGTAAAGCATTTTTTTTAAATTTCAGGTTTCATTTTTTTATTTTAAAATTGAATATAAAAAAAGATATATTTATAGTTTCATAAATGTATACTTGA